AGTCAAGAGCTGTGAAACGGCAAATAAAAGGGAAAAGTTACGTTCTCTGGCGGACAGGATTAGCTGTAAACACACCACAGGGCTAACGCTAACGTGTTTTAATGAGCCAGTCTGTTTGTTTTTGACAGACGGCTCCCGGTAGAACCCTGTCAGGAAGCTGAAGTGGAGCGGACCCAGACAACTCATCAGCTGTTAGCTGTAAACACTAGCAGGACTAAAGTTTATGATGCAGCTGTGTTAAAACTATAGCGCAACATCACTGCGCTGTAATAACATTATGCTTTATTAACATTGAATGTCACATCATTAACAAAATGGATATGTCAGTCCAGTGACAACAGACTTGCCTCTCTGGCGCTGGCAGTAACTCAGGCTGCCGAGTGAACGACAGACTCCGAGGAGGACCCATATGAGGGGTGAACGATAAGTTCATTCCTGCTCCATAGTAGCTGAGATGCCACGTGACAATGGAGGTCAACATTGTGTCGTCATGTTTCTACAGTAGCCGACAATGGAGAAACGGCACTACAGAGCGCATTTCGTGTAGTGTAGACGCCACCCTCACTACATTGAATGCGTTGAAGATGAAATGATACACTCTCTGGTTTGTTAGAGATAAAAGTGACATTTGGAGAAATTAAGGCGACTGTGTTATTTAGCAGGAGAGCCGACAGCCTGTGGATCTTACCATACCATGAAGCCAGACGAGGTTGGGACAGATACAGATGACTGCAGAAATAAAGGATATAACGTTAATTGGTGTGGATTTTCCCAGACAGAAGGCTTTGACGTTGGACAGATGTTTTCAAAGAGGTGCTGAAGCGGTCTGTTTTCTGCTGGACAGATAATTAAGTTTGTCAGACTTTACTGATGCAAATGAAAGCTGTTGTTTGATAGCTTTGGCTAGAAACTGGCCCACAGACTGTCAGTGGTGTAAAATATGTAGTTGATTTAATTTCATGTAGCCTAGTTATTCTCCAGCCTGTGGTCTGGCTTTGGCGGTTACAGCGAGACAATCAGCTGATCAGTAATTGACAATAAAACGGTAAAGTTAGCTTACAGCATGGAAACATCAGCCAGCTAAACTTTTACTGCCCTAGTAGGAAAAACATGTAGTTGGATTAATTTCATGTAACCTAGTTATTCTCCAGTGCTGTGCTTTGGCTTTGCCGGTTACGTTACCGAGAGGATCAGCTAATCAGGAATTGGCAATAAAGCGCTAATGTTAGCTTAGAGCAGGAAAGCGATCAGCCAGTGAAACTTTTTCTGCCCTGGTAGAAAAAATATGTAGTTGGATTGTAGTTTAATGTGCGCTCTGTTATGTCTTTGCTACGTGGACAGGAATGTGCCATTGAAATGGTAACAGCAAGGAAGCTCAGATCAGCAGCTAAACTTCACATTTTTCTGCCCTGGTGGAAAACATGTATTTCTTTTTACTGCTAATGATGTATAACAAGACCATGTACCTATCAAGTGGCCAATAATCAATACTTTAAGAATTTGCATTAAAAAAATGTTACAGATATGCTTCACCAATGTGCACACAAATGTGTAATTTGTACTTTCACATGCTAAATGTACATTAAAAATGTTGCCCCATTTTACCAAAAGCTGAAATAATGGCTGTCAGTACTACTTTGTGTTTCTGTTGTATTTAAAAAAAAAAAAAAAAAAAAAAAAAAATTAAGACACTTTGGTAAGATTTGCAGATTGCTTATCTAATTAAGCAAAGTGAGAGGAGCTGTGATCCTCACAGCCAATGTTTTTGTAAACTTCGTGTGGTTTATAATGGACTGTGGTACAGAAAGTCAGTGGTTATACTTGATGCACTTTTGAGATGTCCTTCATTTACATTGGCATGTAAAACAATGAATTACAGGAGTATGAGGCATCATGTAGCACTTTCTTTCTTGATGTGGCGGTTTGTTAATGAACAAGTAACAATAATTAATAAACATGTGGTTTAACTAAACAATTATAATTTCTGAGTTACTCCATTCTGAAAACTAAAGACTTATCTGCACACTGTATAATTAGTTTTCATGTGAAACATTTTTACTCTCACTAAACTGATGTCTCTTATCAAACATTAAAGCTGAACTGTTGCTATTTTATCTGTGTTGTAAGATTAACTTGTCCTAGGAATTGACGGAATCTGACATTTTCAGTCAAAGACAAAATGAGTGCTAAAATAGAGAATCTGTTGCAACATGCACATAAGGACAAAGTTTAAAACTAAATTTAAAAGTTAACAGAAGGCCTTTCCACATCAGTCCACGCCATCAGATACAGATGTCCAGCTGACTGAGGATGTGTTACTGCAGCTGTCTGGCACCAGGTGGGACATCTGAATCACACTGTGACTGTGGAAGGAAAATAATAAATGTTGCAGTTAATGTAAAATATAAAGTTAACTATAAAAGTTGCTTCACTTTGGGTGACCGTACTATTATGTCACATATTTGGAGGGAGCAGCACCTCGAGATATATAGACAACAATAACAGTCAACATGTTTTTGTGTTGTCCTTTGAAGACAGACTATGTAATATCAGCTGTTAAATGTCCAGTAGCAATAACAATAAATGCTGATTCATGGTAACGTTAACTGTTAACGTTAGTCTCCACATAATCTAGTGGCAAATTCCCACATATATATTTATTAAAACGTTGAAGCATTTTAAACCTTGTGTAGTATAACCTAAATATCGGCCGATCACCGTGCTGTTTACACACTGAAGTCAAGCCAGCCTCCACTGCGATGCGTGTGTTTGGTTTTTTTTTTTTTTTTTTTTTTTGGTTGTTTTTCCTTCTAGGCATTACGGTAACATCGCGTCGCAGCACATTTCAAAATAAAAGTGAGCTTCTGCTGAACATTATGCAATTGATGTGGCAGAAACGATTGAATAAATAAATGCTTAAGACACCAAGTATCTAAAGAAAATATTAGTCTCATAGAAAGCTTACTACATTCAGCCAAGATTCGAACTCATGTAAAAAGAAAACGTCCTGTTTCCACAGACTTATTTCACTTCACAGTGACAGCAGACCACCAAAGGGAGACCCTGACCACCAGAGAACCGTCAGCCAATATCAAAGCAGTCTCATGTCCATTTTCTAAATGTATACACATAAACACACAGACACTGCACATTATTTTCCATATATACGTATGTGTATAGACAAAATATTAAACATCTTTATAAAATAAAAGTAGGCTGTGTATATATTACAAAAAATATGTAATTGTTCAGAATGTGCATGTGTGTCTATCTTGGATCATTTCTTTATTCCCATTACTTCCTTGTCCATACAAGCTTTATTGGTGGGATGCGATGTATTACAGGCACACAGAGCAATTCCACTTTGATTTTCTCGCTTTCTTCAGGTCTCTGGTGTCCATAGCAAGGCACTGCTCATGGAACCACCTTTCACACATTTCACATTGGATCTACAAAGGACAAGGTTAAAATTTCAAAGATGATTGTCAGGGTACTCTCACAACAAGACCTTTTTCAACAAATGAAGAAAACAACATAGTCCCAGTCTCTGTTTACTGTTACACACACCTCTGCTCATACTAGATTCCCATTTCTACAATAAACAAGTCACAAGAACAAAGACTATGACAGTGTCATTGGATTGGACAGATTACCAACATCATTAATTGGTCTAACTGGACAAACTGTGGAGGTGGACAGCCACAAAAGAATCATCCTGATAATTCATTCATTTTAATAGAGGTCTCAAGTTTGAGGATCAGAAGCCAATACCTCTTTTATAGGCCTACTAGTAGTCGACTGTAGGCCATACGGTTTTTACCCCTTTCTGTCTTTCATCTTGGTCAGCTGGTTGGTCTTTTGTTAATTTCTAAGCTTCTGTAGGCATAGCCCTCAGGTTCCCTGCTCTTACTACTGTGTTACATTATAGTTCTACTGTTTTTTAATTAAAGGTTATTTCATCTGTATACCTCCAAGGATGTCAACATATGCGACAATAATATATCAACATTACAAACAATGAATTACATTTTGACTGAGACACTTTCGTAGGTTTAGAGAAGCACTAGGCTGCATAACAAAACGAAATTTGTAGTTCATTCATGACACACACACACACACACACGTTTAAGTGTAAGCCTATATTAAAATATGGTAATATATTAATTAAAATAAATCAATATATAGGCTACAATTAGGCTATTTATATAGGCTACATACATACATAAATTTATATAGGCTACATAAATAGCCTACATCACATTCATCTTGACTGCGTTTGAGCACCAAGAGTAATCGATGTAAAAACACCTCCTCATCTTGATGGAGTCTTGCACTGATAACTTTAATTTGGCCCATGGGCTGCCTCTTGCCGTCCACTGCTGTATGTGAATCAAATGTGAGACCACATTTTGAACAAAAAGCGCAGGTTGGCTTCACATTGTCCCCTGTGAAAGGGCACTAAACTAGAGTTGTTAAAAGTTGAAACGGAAGTTTCCTTTTTACGTCAATTTAAATATTGGCGAATAGCCAAAATACACTCAGTTCTATGGAAATTGCTGGTAGGGCAGGCAGACAAGGTTAGCCGGTTAGCTAACAAAGCAAAGCATTTAGCAGCTAAAGAGCCAAATGTTTCTATTAGGAGTAGATCAAAACAAAACTTACAGGTTAATGCATCTGTAATAATAATCAAAAATATAACAGTCAGAGGCCATTAATTCATCATGGTTACTTTTATACTTTTGATACTTTAAGTAGCCATTTAGCTGATAATCTACACTAAGTAACATTTTCACTACCATCTGCAAGTGGTTTCTAGCAGCAACCACCACTGCACACAGTTTCTGTAGCAGTAGCGGTTTAGCTAACTGATGTTGTTACATCCACCACTTTATCAGATCTGTGACTAAGTCATCTTTTACCAACTCCCAGTCAGTTGGTACTCTTTTAATGACAGCATTTTTATGATTATTGATTTTTGCAATCAGTTTACTGTTAACCAAGCTAGCCATTATACTGTCTGAGGCTATGTGTTGCTCAAGGCATACAATGTTCTAAGGAACTGTTTAATCCTTTTACTATGAGGAGACTGGGGGGGGGGTTGTAACAAAGGAACCACGAAAAAGAGATGACACATAAGTGATGTAGTCAGTTTCATGTATGACCACTTCCTTCCTGACCTTGAAATTCAATTGTGTGAAGAAAAGTAGTGCTATAATTATACAACTTGCATTAGATTTGAGAGTAGTCTCCTAGGTAAAAAACAAAACGACCAAATGCAGGTCTCCCAAGCTGCTGTGGAAACTCTCTGGATCCTTAATTGTCATGCTCCTACTTGATGGGAATGTAGATCTTAATCCTGGGCCAACTGTAGGAGAAGTGTGCCCAGATCGACATCATCCACCAGCACTCGTGGAGAACTTATGTCCTGGTTTGGATAGTATTAGACTGGGACAAGAATTTACTGTTAACTACAATCTGCGTTCCTTTGAAGCTGACAGACTGGGTGAGTTAACTATAGGAATCTTGCCAACTGTTGCCATCCCTCCTGTGGCAAATTGTGTACAAACTCCACATCACCTATAAAACTGAAAAGCAAGATAAATCCCACAATTGTGAAGCACCGTGGGTTTAAACTTTTCAGAACAGTGAACCAGGCTCATATTCTGTGGGACTCTCGGGCCAAACAAAGCAGATTATTAGGCAGACACGTGACAATGTGTGGAGCTGTAGCCTAAGTGCTATAATTGTTTCCATGAATATTCAGCTTATTGATGGTTGTGATGGGCCAAAATCACCAGATTTGCTGCGTTTGTCCTGTGGCAAATAAACAAAAGCTTCATCATCACCTTCAGTTTAGCTGAAAATGCATTACTGCGTAAAGTCAGAAAGATAGAAAACAATGTGTTCGCATAGACCATAAAACTTCCCAAATGACCGATAATGACTTAGGTGTCATTATCGGTCACACCTCAAGATTCAACTTTGGGTCCTCTGTTGTTCTGTCTTAATGACCTACCTGAAGTTTGTCCTTCTGCAGTAACTTGTCAGATGTACGCTGATGATACGGTCATATATGTACATGTAAAAAACAGGAAGCAAGCTGCTAAGGAACTATCAGCTTCTATGGTCAATATCTCTAATTGAAAAAACAAACTCTTGTTTACATCTTAATACCAGCAAAACTGTATGCATGTTCTTTTCGAAATCTGCAAATAAAGATCCAGAGGTTACTGTAGCAGGAAGAACACTGTCAGTCGTGCATGAGTTTGAATATTTAGGTATAATATTAGACACACAACTGACATTTAAATCACAAGTTAAAAAAGTTGTAAAAAGAATTAAATTTAATTTGGAAAATTTTAGACCCATTAGGAGTAATTTAACTACAGAGGCCTCAAAGTTGTACATCAATGCCATAATAGTCACATATGAACTACTGTATAACCAGCTGGACGCAGACAGGAAGGACTGCATTACAGTCGAAGTAGAAACGGTTTATAAACGGGCTTTGAAAACAATGGATAATAAGTCAAATTAATTTCATCATTGTAATATTTTAAAGAAGCGTGTTTTTTTTAAACTGGGAAAATACGGTCAAATTTGCTGATATCGTCCTTGTGTATAAAATGTTCCATGGTTTAGCCCCCCCCTCCACTCAGTGAATTTTTTAAACAAAATCTTAACTCATCTACCAGAGCTACTTCAAGAGGTGACTGTAAAATACCATATAGGAAAAGTTCCTTTGGACAGTCAGCCTTTTCCTACCGAGCAGCGCGTACCTGGAACACGACATCTACAGAACTAAAACATTTCTTCTCTTACCACCTTTTCAAAAGCTATAAAACAGTGGTTACTGGACAATCAAATATGTTGTCATAATTTGCAGTAGTGCTTTTGTCATTGTTTTACATATTCCTGTACTCACATGCTGATGTATTTTACTTGTCATATTATTTGTGCTTGTCTGATTTTGTCTTTGCTTACGTAATTTGTGTTTTAATGTTTTATCCATGTTTTTGTGTTGTCTGCTTATGATAAGTGTATGTTTTTTAATGTTGTCTGTATGCAATGTTTTAATGTTTTGTTCTTAAAACAAGAACCTACCAGGGACTAGTATTAGTTTGTACGGCTAAATCTGGCTCATTTACATTTGGACATTGTCCTTATGTTCATTAATGTGCACTGTACCTTTTTAAATAAATTTAACTAACAAATGTGAGGCATTTAACCTATGCTAATTTGAAACTACCATGCTGCTACAGCTATTTAAACGATGGCTGACAGGGGTGGGGATTGTTGTAACCTTTTTTTGAAACTAATCCCGTAATGACAACTAAACACGTGAGGTGAGGTAGGTAAAGACAGTTACTGATTACTCTATCTGCATGTGACATTGATCAAATACTTCAAGAAATTAGATATTCTTAAGGTTGTAACCTTGTAAACAGCATACAGTAACAAGTGGAAGTTTTCTAATTCACAGCTCATAGAAAAAGCTCCGTAATAATCACCAACAGCTTTCACAATTTTGGACAGACTACCAAACAAAGTTGTTTAACAGAAAAAGTGACAAATGTCAGAAATACATTACCTGGAGAATCAATAAGGAAGTTTTATAAATGACATATAATAACGCTGATGTTTGCCCTGCAACAACATAACAAAATTGTTTGCCTGGCTGGCCGTAGGATTTGGGCTTCTAATAGCTAATTAATACATTTTTATGGTATTAAATTGGCAAAGACCTCGGAATTTGTATTTACAGTCATATTTCACCCAAAAATGTGGGCAGTGGCATGACACAGGCAAAGTACCTCTCATCCAAAATGTCATCCTTTTCACCCCATAAACCATTTCTAAAAGAGATCAGTGACACACCAAGCTATGGTTTGTGTGAATTTCTATTTATTTTTGAGCATGTGGTAAAAACACAGGTGGAAAAACACTGAGCTGCAGCACGGGATGTCACAGGGTTTTGACGTCATTTTTGGGTCTACATGGAGCCCTCCATGCAGGCTTTGGTCGGCTTAACTGTTTCAACTGTTGCTTACCCCATTGACTAGAAACTGCACATGTGCAACTCCCAACAAAGATCATTTACAGACAAGATGTATCCCTCCATAGCTAAAACGAAACCTTCAACACAGGGCGAAAAGAGGAGCTGCAGCAATGGGTGCAGTATGAAAAAAAAAAAATATGTTTTTTAAAATAAGATTTTGAACCTGAAAATGGGCATAATACCACTTTACCTCTTTAAAAGTTCGTTTCTATATTTTACTATTTTTCACATATGTTGGTGCCGGCAGCTGCAACAACTTCAAACATTTCTGTTTTAATGCCTTCTCAGTGGTACTTGTGCAGCAGAGAAACACAATTTCATGTCCATAATTTCAGACACGTATATGTAGCTCTATATATATGAAAATTGGTATATCTTTTGTAACAAAGTTTACATTCTGGGGGTGGGTGTGGGGGTGTGTGTGTGTGTGTGTGTGTGTGTGTATATATAGGGGGGGGGAGAGAATTTTTCTGGACAGCAGTCACTCAAAGAGTGTGCTTGTCTTCGCTTTCCTTAGAAACTGAGACTGTGGTTCAGAGAAGGCTTTCATATTCTACATTTGTTTCTGCACCAGCCAGGAAATTAGTAGCAAGTATTAGTAATTGGCTGGTTCGTCACACAGTCATTTAAAGTGAATCCATAGTGAGCCCAAGAAACGGTTTAGACAACAATTACAGGTTTATATGTACTTACTATAAAACATAATACAAAAACAATGTATTTATAATTATCTCTTCCTTCCTCATGACACCACAAAGCATTTGATTTTTCCCAGTAATTAACTGGAACTCAGATAATTCAAACTGTACCTTACTTAACAAAGCTTTAAAGAAATGATTAAAAACATTATATAAAAAGTCTAATAATAATAGAAATTATCTAAAATATAATTATTATTCAAATATAAACCTGTAAATATATAGATGTGGCAATTAATATTAAACAGTAAAATGTTATATACAGTTGAACATTTAACATGTTAATGTTAAGCTTGTTTTTCTTTTGTTAAACTTCAGTTGTGGTTTGTGCCGTAGACACAGAGCTGGGGTTTGACAGAAACCAACGGTTATACATCTGACGAGTTTGCTGGAGCAACTGTCTGAGCTGAGCAGGAATATCTTCAATTCCATGGAGGTAAACCAGAGGGTTGAGAGCACTGTTCAGACACACAAGGCCGCGACTTATCTCATGAGCAATGTAGACTCCATTAAACCATTCATAGCATATTCCCTGTTTGGACAGAACTCTTGCTAAGAGGTTCAGGTTCTTGAATACATGATGGGGAATGTAACAAACAGAGAAGAGAAGAATCAAGATGAACAACAATTTCAAACTTCTCTGTTTCTGTACCTTGTCAGTGGTATTTGTGTGGCAGAGAATGACAATCACATGTCCATAACAGCCCAGTGTGATGAGGAGTGGGATGCAAAACCCAGTGAGTGTCCATCCAAAGCTGTATTTCAGGTAATCCTCAACATGGCTCTTATTTGTGGTATCATAACATTTCCCAGTGCTGTTTCCAAATGTTTTGGGGTAGAACATGTCTGGAAGACTTTGAATGCCCACCAACAGCCAAACCATGACTGAGATAGCTACAGAATGAGTCAGAGATAATCTTCCCATGACTCTTATTGGATGGACAATGGCCAGGTACCTGTACACACTTATACAAGTAAGAAACCCGATGCTGCCATATAAATTCAGGTTGAAGCAGAATCTTGTTATCTTGCAGAATGCATCTCCAAAGATCCATTTGCTCTTCTTATAGTAGTACACCATCAGAAATGGGAGTGTGAGCAGATACAAAAAATATGCAAGTCCGAGGTTGAGAGCAAAAACATTGATGATCTTTAGCTTCTTCCAGTTGTGCAGCAAAGACTTCAATCCCCATCCATTAGCTACCAGACCAATGATGAATACTAGGATGTAAACAGGAGGCAAGAATCTGTGTTCAAAGTCAAAATTGACTGAAGGACAAGAGGAGTTCTTCATTCTGTCTCCTGAAAAGCATCAAATAGTGTAAAGCAAGGATGCTTTAGTGCCTAGAATGGCTGAAGGAACTGAGGCAATATGTCTTTAAACGTTGCTTCCTGGCAAACTCATTATTCATAGAGTCTTGCAGTAGAACTTAACTCAAAATGTAGATGTGGTTGCTGAATGTGGGTAGATACAATGACCTCACAGCATGAAATCATAGTCCACCTACTCAACCAGTCTGGTCAATGCTTTTCACTTTTATAATGGTGGTGCAGCACACAGAGTAAAAGACACTATAACAAAATTTCAGGCCAGGTCAAGTCTCAAATCTTTTTATGACTTATAGTTATAACAATGTATCTACTGATTAAAGCTGATGATACACGGGGCAAGTTTTTGAACAGTGTTGCTGGGCAGTCTTGCTAGTGGCAAGTCCGACTATGTTTTAAACAGATAGGGGCGGGGCGGGTGGCAGAGTGGTGGGGGAAGGGGATTACGGTAGTAATCTTTACTCATTACCATTGACGGCAACATTGCTCTGCACAATTGCTCTAAAAGTTGCTCTGTGTATCATCAGCTTAAAGGGCCACTCTTAATATTGAAACCACCAGCAAATGTAAATGCTCTGTATTTGTGTCGCGCCTTACTAGTCTGAGCAACCACTCAAAGCGCTTTTACACTACATCGCATTCACCCTTTCACACACATGCACGCAGTTTCATGTATGACCACTTCCTCCCTCAACTTGCATGTGAAATTCAATAGCGGTGTGAAGAAGTATGCATATTTCACACACATTTTTTGGAGAGAGAGTAGTTAATTATTTTTTTACCAAGACTATATTTTTTTAGTACTGATACTCATGAGCAATGTAGATTCCATTAAACCATTCATGGCAAATCCCCTGTTTGGACAGAACTCCTGCTAAGAGGTTCAGGTTCTTGAATACATGATAGGGAATGTAACAAACAGAGAAGAATCAAGATGAACAACAATTTCAAACTTCTCTGTTTCAGTACCTTGTCAGTGGAATTTGTGTGGCAGAGAACGACAATCACATGTCCATAACAGCCCAGTGTGATGAGTGGGATGCAAAACCCAGTGAGTGTCCGTCCAAAGCTGAATGTCAGGTAATCCTCAACATTCTTGTTATTGGTGGTATCGTAACATTTCCCAGTGCTGTTTCCAAATGTTTTGGGGTAGAACATGTCAGGAAGACTTTGAATGCTCACCAACAGCCAAACCATGACTGAGATAGCCACAGAATGAGTCAGAGATAATCTTCCCATGACTCTTATTGGATGGATAATGGCCAGGTACCTGTACACACTTATACAAGTAAGAAACCCATGCTGTCATATAAATTCAGGTTGAAGCAGAATCTTGTTATCTTGCAGAATGTATCTCCAAAGATCCATTCGCTCTTCACACCATCAGAAATGGGAGTGTGAGCAGATACAAAATATCTGCAAGTCCGAGGTTGAGAACAAAAACATTGATGATCTTTAGCTTCTTCCAGTTGTGCAGCAAAGACTTCAATCCCCATCCATTAGCTACCAGACCAATGATGAATACTAGGATGTAAACAGGAGGCAGAAATCTGCCTGTAAAGTCAAAATTGACTGAAGGACAAGAGGAGTTGTTCATTCTGTCTCCTGAAAAGCATGGTTGAAGTAACTGAGGCAATATGTCTTTAAATGTTGCTTCCTGGCAAACTCATTATTCTCGGAATGTTATCGCAGAGCTGAACACAAGATGAAGGTGGATAGACAAAATCATATCACAGGATGCACACAATTATAGTGCACCTACTGCACCAGTCTGGTCAATGCTTTTCAATTCTATAATGGTGGTGCAATAATAATAATCTTTATTTGTAGAGCACTTTTCAAAAACAAGTTACAAAGTGCTTTAACAAGTGTAAAGACAATAATACCCAATTCAATTTTATTTATATAGCGCCAAATCACAACAACAGTTATCTCACAGCGCTTTTCATAAAAGAGCAGGTCTAGACCGTACTCTATGATGATATTTACAGAAGCCCAACAGTTCCCACCAAGAGCAAGCACTAGGTGACAGAGGCAAGGAAAAACTTCCTTTTAAGAGGCAGAAACCTCGAGCAGAACCATGGCTCAGGGTGGGCGGCCATCTGCCTTGACCGGTTGGGGGTGAAGGAGAGAGAGGGGGGGGGGGGGGGAGAAAGAGAGAGAGGGATGGAAGGAGAGAGAGGGGAGGGAGGCAGCCTACACAATATACACACAGAGGTACAGACAGTAAAGGTGATGTTACTATAGACTAAATGAAAAATGGTACAGATATTTATATAGTGTTAATGGTAACAATTGTAATGTTAATGATTATAATAACAATAATAACAATAAGACTAGCAACAATAGTCGTTGCAGCAGAGGGTGTCGAGCAGGAACACGGGGGCAGCAGGTGACCCGCAACCACAGATCCAGACTCCACAGCTCCAGAGCCAGAAAATCTGCAGGAAGTGATAGGAGAGACGAGAAAGCACAAGACTACCAGAAAGGGGAGAAGTTGTGTTAGTAACATGCAATAATGGGATGAGGTTGCATACAGAGGGAGAGAAAGTAGAGGAGAGAGGAGCTCAGTGCATCATGGGAAATCCCCCGGCAGTCTAGGCCTATAGCAGCATAACTAAGGGATGGTTCAGGACTCACCTGAGCCAGCCCTAACTATAAGCTTTATCAAAGAGGAAAGTCTTAAGCCTACTCTTAAATGTGGAGATGGTGTCTGCCTCCTGAACCCAAACTGGAACCTGGTTCCACAGGAGAGGAGCTTGATAGCTGAACGCTCTGGCTCCTAGTCTACTTTTGGAGACTCTAGGAACCACAAGTAACCCTGCATTCTGGGAGCGCAGTGCTCTGGTGGGGTAGTAAGGTACTATGAGCTCTTTAAGATAAGATGGTGCCTGACCATTAAGAGCTTTGTAGGTAAGAAGAATGATTTTAAATTCTATTCTGGATTTTACTGGAAGCCAATGCAAGAAGCTAAAACAGAGAAATGTGATCTCTTTTCCTGGTTCCTGTCAGAACACGTGCTGCAGCATTCTGGATCAGCTGAAGAGTCTTAATGGACTTTTTCGAGCAGCCTGATAATAAGGAATTGCAGTAATCCAGCCTAGAAGTAACAAATGCATGGACTAGTTTTTCTGCATCATTTTTAGACAGGATGTTCCTGATTTTCGCAATATTACGTAGGTGAAAAAGGCGGTCCTTGAAATTTGCTTAATGTGAGACTTAAACGACATGTCCTGATCAAAGATAACTCCAAGATTCCTCACAGTGGTGCTGGAGGCCAGGGCGATGCCATCCAGGGAAACTATATCTTTAGATAATGCGTCACGGAGGTGCTTAGGCCCCAGAGCAATAACTTCAGTTTTATCTGAGTTTAACATGAGAAAATTACAGGTCATCCAGGTTTTAACATCCTGAAGGCACATTTGAAGTTTAGCTAACTGATGAGTTTCATCTGGCTTGATCGATAGATATAACTGAGTATCATCTGCATAACAATGAAAGCTTATGGAATGTTTCCTGATAATATTGCCTAAAGGAAGCATATATAAAGTGAAGAGGATTGGTCCGAGGACAGATCCTTGAGGAACTCCATGACGAACTTTGGCATGCATGGAGGACTCATCGTTAACATGTACAAACTGAAATCGATCTGATAAATAGGACTTAAACCAGCTTAGAGCGGTTCCTTTAATGCCAATGAAATATTCCAGTCTCTGCAATAGGATCTGATGGTCAATGGTATCAAATGCAGCACTAAGATCTAATAAAACCAGTACAGAGACAAGTCCTTTGTCTGATGCAATAAACTAAGCAAATAAACTATTGCTCTGTAGAAAGTCACACAGCTGTTTAGCAACTGCTTTCTCCAGAACCTTAGAGAGAAATGGAAGGTTAGATATAGGTCTATAGTTGGCTAAAACATCCGGATCAAGTTTGGGAAGAGGTTTAATTACAGCTACTTTAAAGTACTGTGGTACATAGCCTGTTGATAGAGACAGATTGATCATATCTAGTATAGAGGTGCTGACTAAGGGTAAAACATCTTTAAGCAGCCTAGTTGGGATGGGGTATAAGAGGCAGGTTGATGGTTAAAGATGAAGAAATTATTGAAGTTAGTTGGTAAAGATTGAGGGAAGCAAAACAGTCTAAACATGTATCTGGTTCTACAGCTGTTTCTAAGGTTCCTGAGTTAAGAGATAAGTCGGTGCCAGTTGAGGGCAGGTCTTGGTGAATTTTGTCTCTAATAGCTAGAATTTTGTCATTAAAGAAGCTCATGAAATCGTAACTACTGAGAGCTATGGGAATACTTGGCTCAATAGAGCTGTGACTCTCTGTCAATCTGGCTACAGTGCTGAAAAGAAACTTTGGGTTGTTCCTATTTTCCTCTATTAATGACGAGTAGTACGCTGCTCTAGCATTACGGAGGGCCTTCCTATAAGTTTTAAGACTATCATGCCAAATAAACGAGAATTTTCCACTTTGGTAGAACGCCAATTCCTCTCAAGTTTCCGCGATATTTGCTTTAATTTGCGAGTTTCAGTATTATACCATGGAGTTAACCGTCTTTGTTTTAGTATTTTCTTTTTTAGAGGGGCTACTGAGTCGAGTGTCATTCGCAGCGAGCCTGCAGCACTATCAACAAGATGATCGATTTGGGAGGGACTGAAACTAGCATAGGAGTCCTTTGTTACTTTCTGACTAGATAATGTATTTAGAGCTGATGGAATCGCATCCTTAAATTTAGCTATGGCACTATCAGACAGACATCTTGTATAGAAATTTTTGCCCAATGGCGAGTAGTTCAGCAATACAAACTCAAAAGTTATCAAACAGTGGTCGGACAAAGAGGGATTCTTTGGGAACACCACTAAATGTTCAATTTCAATACCATACACCAAAACAAGGTCGAGGGTGTGGTTAAAACAGTGAGTCGGTTCATGAACACTCTGAGAGAAGCCAATGGAATCTAACAGAGAGATAAACGCAGTACTAAAGCTGTCATTCTCAACATCCACATGAATATTAAAATCCCCTAAAGGACTAAAGTTGACAAAAACTCTGCAAATTCAGATAAGAATTCAGAATACGGGCCAGGTGCTCGGTACACTATAATGAAGAGAATTGGTTGCAGTGATTTCCAACTTGGGTGCGAAAGACTAAGAACAAGACTTTCAAATGAGTTATAGTTTGGTTTAGGTTTAGAGCTGATTAATAGGCTAGAGTCGAAGATAGCTGCAACTCCACCTCCTCGGCCTGTGCCTCGAGGAATGTGAGTATTAATGACTGGGAGGGGTGGATTCATTTAGGCTAACATTCTCCATCACCCAGCCAGGTTTCAGTAAGACAAAATAAATCAATATCATAATCTGAAATTAGTTCATTTACTAGTACACCTTTAGAAGAGAGAGATCTGATGTTTAAGAGTCCACATTTAACTCTCCTATTCATTTGCACTATTGCCTTTGTGGTTTTAATTTTTGAGGTTTTTATGCACAGCTCCTTCTGTTTTACCTTTTTAAACAATTTCGATGGTCGGGGGACAGACACCGTCACTATAGGATTTTCACTAAGTAACTCCTGAAATTGAGGAGCAGAGAAGTGTGTTAGACTGCGACTCTGCGTAGGGTTTTGGGTGGGTAACTGCTGAAAAAGAAGGGCAGAGAAGTGTGTTAAACTGCGACTCTGCCTCCTGGTCTCAACTCTGGGTTTTCATGGATTTGGTCCACTAATAAACTTGGCCAGATTTCTAGAAATGAGAGCTGCTCCTTCCCAAGTGGGATGGATGCCGTCTCTCCGAATCAGACCAGGTCTTCCCCAGAAAGTCTGCCAATGATCAACAAAGCCCACATCGTTTGCTGGACACCACCTTGACAACCAGCGGCGGAATGACGACATGCGGCTATACATGTCATCACTGGTCAGATTTGGCAGGGGTCCAGAGAAAACTACGGTGTCCGACATTGTTTTTGCATATGTACACACCGACTCAACATTAATCTTAGTGACCTCCGATTGGCTTAACTGGGAGTCATTACCGCCGACGTGAATTACAATCTTACTGTATTTACGTTTATCCTTAG